CTGGTTCACTTACATGGCTACTGATTCTATACATGGCTACTGGTTCTATGCATGGCTAATGGTTGTATGCATGGCTACTGATTCTATACATGGCTATTGGTTCTATACATGGCTACTTGTTATATACATGGCTACTGGCTCTAGGCATTTACATGGTTACTGGTTCTATACATAACTACTGGTTCTATACATGGCTACTGGTTCTATGCATGGCTACTGGTTCTATACATGGCTACTAGTTCTATACATGGCTACTGGTTCTATACATGGCTACTGGTTCTATACATGGCTACTGGTTCTATGCATGGCTACTGGTTCTATACATGGCTACTGGTTCTATACGTGGCTATTGATTCTATACATGGCTACTGGTTCTATACATGGCTACTGGTTCTATGCATGGCTACTGGTTCTATACATGGCTACTGGTTCTATACGTAGCTACTGGTTTTATGCATGGCTACTGATTCTATACATGGCTACTGGTTCTATACATGGCTACTAGTTCTATGCATGAACGTCTCTCAACTGGGTGGAACATGTTTTAACACCCGGATCTTGACTCAGAAAATACCCATATACCCACCGGGTGTAAGAGAACTACTTTCAGCTTGACACCAGTTGGTATAGTCATTCAATATTTAACAGTTTTACCAAATTTGCTTACACATTTGAATATCTCTGACGTGGATGGATGTGCATTATGCGAAGAGATACTTGCTGTTGAACATATGGTGTCACGCAAGAAATCAAAACATTGCACAAATTGTGACATAAGATGTCATTAAAAAAAAACACAAACAGAACGTTCATAATTTGTGGCGTAAAGTCAATGCAACGGTTCGAATACAGTCATTTCTCTGGCAGTCGGTTCGAATACAGTCATTTCTCTGGCAGTCGATTCGAATACAGTCATTTCTCTGGCGGTCTGTTCGAATACAGTCATTTCTCTGACGGTCGGTTCGAATACAGTCATTTCTCTGGCGGTCTGTTCGAATACAGTCATTTCTCTGACGGTCGGTTCGAATACAGTCATTTCTCTGGCGGTCGGTGCGAATACAGTCATTTCTCTGATGATCGGTTCGAATACAGTCTTTTCTCTGACGGTGTCATTGCTGGTGTCATTCGACTAGATTATGACGATGTCATCAGTCATTTTATATAATCCAATATATATATATATATATATGACAGTTACGCCAGGTATGAAAGTTACGCCAGCTATGATAGTTACGCCAGCTATGAAAGTTACACCAGCTATGATAGTTACACCAACTATGATAGTTACGCCAGCTATGAAAGTTACACCAGCTATGAAAGTTACACCAACTATGATAGTTACACCAACTATGATAGTTACACCAGCTCTGATAGTTACACCAGCTATGATAGTTACACCAGCTATAACAGTCACAACTACTAATGTGACTACATCAGGTAATGTAGCTAGTGAGATTACAAGGGCTGTAAGCTAATGACTACGGTGGTTACTTCATTGGTTACTATTGATACAATGGCTCTATTACTACACTGACTTATATGACTACAATGGCTTATATACTTACAATGTTCACTGTAACTACAATGGTTCTTTAGCAGCAACAGTTTTATGGTGACATAGATTTCTTTCAACGGTAATTACCGAATATACCCGCGTATAGGTAACACTTGACTTATTTTAACCAAAATACTCGATACAAATCAGGTGTGCCACCTCTCCACCAACAACGGTTTTGTTTGCTGTTGCTCAGTGTGGCGAAGTTGTTTAGACGGAATGTCGGGGACTTCTTTTCTCCCTGGCTGTTGCATACACTCTAGCAGACTTCTTATCTCCCTTGCTGTTGCATGCACTCTAGCAGACTTCTTATCTCCCTTGCTGTTGCATGCACTCTAGCAGACTTCTTATCTCCCTTGCTGTTGCATGCACTCTAGCAGACTTCTTATCTCCCTTGCTGTTGCATGCACTCTAGCAGACTTCTTATCTCCCTTGCTGTGGCATGCACTCTAGCAGACTTCTTATCTCCCTTGCTGTGGCATGCACTCTAGCAGACTTCTTTTCTCCCTTGCTGTTGCATGCACTCTAGCAGACTTCTTGTCTCCCTTGCTGTTGCATGCACTCTAGCAGACTTCTTGTCTCCCTTGCTGTTGCATGCACTCTAGCAGACTTCTTATCTCCCTTGCTGTTGCATGCACTCTAGCAGACTTCTTATCTCCCTTGCTGTTGCATGCACTCTAGCAGACTTCTTATCTCCCTTGCTGTTGCATGCACTCTAGCAGACTTCTTATCTCCCTTGCTGTTGCATGCACTCTAGCAGACTTCTTATCTCCCTTGCTGTTGCATGCACTCTAGCAGACTTCTTATCTCCCTTGCTGTTGCATGCACTCTAGCAGACTTCTTATCTCCCTTGCTGTTGCATGCACTCTAGCAGACTTCTTATCTCCCTTGCTGTTGCATGCACTCTAGCAGACTTCTTATCTCCCTTGCTGTTGCATGCACTCTAGCAGACTTCTTATCTCCCTTGCTGTTGCATGCACTCTAGCAGACTTCTTATCTCCCTTGCTGTTGCATGCACTCTAGCAGACTTCTTATCTCCCTTGCTGTTGCATGCACTCTAGCAGACTTCTTATCTCCCTTGCTGTTGCATGCACTCTAGCAGACTTCTTATCTCCCTTGCTGTTGCATGCACTCTAGCAGACTTCTTATCTCCCTTGCTGTTGCATGCACTCTAGCAGACTTCTTATCTCCCTTGCTGTTGCATGCACTCTAGCAGACTTCTTATCTCCCTTGCTGTTGCATGCACTCTAGCAGACTTCTTATCTCCCTTGCTGTTGCATGCACTCTAGCAGACTTCTTATCTCCCTTGCTGTTGCATGCACTCTAGCAGACTTCTTATCTCCCTTGCTGTTGCATGCACTCTAGCAGACTTCTTTTCTCCCTTGCTGTTGCATGCACTCTAGCAGACTTCTTTTCTCCCTTGCTGTTGCATGCACTCTAGCAGACTTCTTATCTCCCTTGCTGTTGCATGCACTCTAGCAGACGGCAATCCGGGTTTTGTTTTTATTATATGTTGTTTTTTTAAATTATTATTTTTGTTAAAGATCACGTAGTTTATGAATATTGCTTGAGTTTTTAACTGTATATGGGATCTTTTTGAAATGTCAGTTTAACAAATATTAGTTATATTTAACTGCTTTTTTTAAAAAAAATTGTCACGTACTCCTCTTCCCCCACCCCTACCCCACCTTCCCCCCCCCCTCGAAAAAAAAGAAAAGAAAGAAAAGAAATTTAAAAAAGGGTGTGACCTATCTACGGGGTCAACCGCAAATATCAACTTTGACAACAAAAAATATCAACTCTGACAACCACAAATATCAACTTTGACAACCACAAAGTATGGTTGCGAACACTGTCCACTGGTGCAACCTTGAAGCGAGTAAACACGGTGGCTACTTCCTTTCTCTTACGCGTGTAACGCAACTTTCTATCGAGTGGTTCATACGGCTTGGAGAGAAATTATTGTACGCATCACTGCATCTACTTGTATCATGTGTTGAGCATTTCTGTCGATAACATCTGGTACCCGCGTAACTTAATCCTCGACTGGCTGCTCTAAGAATTTGTGCTCACAATCCCCGGCTTTAGTTACACTGAATCAACGAATTGCGTAATTTTGCATCGAGCTTAGGACCAGGATTTATTCAGGAAGTTGTACATTTTCGATTTTTATTATTATTATTGTTATTATTTAGGTCGGGAGCGCGGGGTGAGACCACAAGGTCAGTGGCGTAGCTGGGATTGGTGTCACCTTGTGCGGTAAATTCACGGTGTCACCCAAACCCACCCCCCACCCCCAAATCGTGCTCAAATGTTAAGGGGCGGTGCTAGTGTGACGAATCGGCGAAAATATTTATTTTTTTAGTATTTCTGGGTTTCGATTTATTTAGTTTCAAAAAACTCTTTTTTTAAAAGATATTAATTATTTAAATATGTTATAAAATTTGAAAATATTTTGTTAACCCTATAAATGGGTAAAAAATTCATCTTTTAAAAATGGTGTTACTTTTGACCGATTCGATTCATGTACTTAGAATCGCTCGACCACATCGTATTTGGTATTATGGAAAGCTTCATTTCTCAGAATTTAGAGAAATATAGCTTCCTGTAACTTATTAAAGTTACCCAATCGGCGTTGAATCGTGGTCAAAATGGTGTTTTTTGAGATCTAATTATAGGGTATCTCATTTCTGAACCACTGCCTTGAACTTTTAATAAAGCACGCATTTCTTCTTTCTTCTATATCTAAAGGCCCCGCGATTAATGAATTAGATCATTCCGGCTCCAATGTATGTAGAGGGGATTCGCGATGTTTCTGTGTCTGGTGTTGAAGAGGATATTTCACTGGCTACTCAACTTGGGGTTGGAAGGCCTGAGGCAATAGACGCAAGTGTGTCAAGAGTTGTCGCTTCAGCTGTTCTTTTTTGGAACCTTGTTCCAGTCCCTGACTGTCCAGGAAGTAATAGCTAACGAATACTTTAATTATACAGGGCTGAAATTTTCTTTTTATTTGATTTCTAAAGCGTCTTTAAACCCCCCCCCCCACCCCTGACATTTGGATTGGTAAGATGTGTGGAAGATGTACGTGTGGCTGGTTATCCTTTTATGAAATTCGGTTAGGCTGAGCAGTGTGTTCTCTGTAAATATTCAATTTTTTCAATTGGGTGTCACCCCTGAGATGGTGTCACCCGGTGCGGTCAGCATTCCCGCAGCCCCCGCACCCCCCGCACCCCCCTAGCTACGCCACTGTTCAATGTCCTAATAATTTGAAATAAGACTTCAAAGAAAACAGAAAGGGGAAAATCTAAAGGGAAAAATCTAAAGGGGAAAATCCAAAGGAGAAAATCTAAGCGGGTCACCAATAGGTGTACATGTGGTGACTTGGGAAAAAAAAATTGATTTTATTGATGCCGTCATGTTGCCTGTGGCTGAGCATTTAAACAAATGTCACCCAACCGCAAACATATTATGTGCAAGTCTGCGGTACCGCGCTTTATAAGACCACTAATAATATAATAATAATGTGTAGGTATAACGGTAGTTAGGCACAACGGCACAGAGACTGGACGAAGTAAGCCAGGCAGATCTAACAGCGGCGATTTAAAGCGGTGACTTTGGGAGGTGTAAGTCGAAAACGCATATCTTTGACGGTGAGACGTCTTTAGCACATGTTCGGTGAAGTGAGTCCTGCCTTCAATCTACCTAGTGGCTTAGATCTGTCAACTGTGAATAGTGTTTTAGCTCTGTCACTTGTGACTAGTGCCTTAGATCTGTCAACTTTGACTGGTGTCTTAGATTTGTCAACTGTAACTAGTGCCTTAGATCGGTCATCTGCGACCAGTGTCTTAGCTCTATCAAATGTGAATAGTGGCTTAGATCTGTCAATTATTAATAGTGTGCTATTTCTGTCATTTTTGACTAGTGTCTGAAATCTTTGGTCTATCAACTGTGATAATTTTTCTGTGGTTGAGTACATATGCAGTGCTAATATTGCTACTATAGTAGCACTGAAACATGTCTTTAAGTCACCTATAAGTGTGTAAGTCACCTACACGTGTTTAAGTCTTACATAAGTGTGTAAGTCACCTATGAGTGTGTAAGTCTTATATAAGTGTCTAATTCACCCATGAGTGTGTTAGCCACCTGTAAGTGTAAGTCACTTATGAGTGTTTAAGTCTTATATAAGTGTGTAAGTCACCTATGAGTGTGGTAGCCACCTGCCTGTAAGTGTGTAAGTAACCTTACGAGTGTTTAAGTCGTATATAAGTGTGTAAGTCACCAATGAGTGTGTTAGCCACCTGTAAATATGTAAGTCAGCTATAAGTTTGTAAGCCACCTACTAGTGTGTAAGCCACCTACTTGTGTGTAAGCCACCTAATAGTGTGTAAGCCACCTACTAGTGTGTAAGCCACCTGCTAGTGTGTATGCCACCTACTAGTGTGTAAACCACCTACTTGTGTGTAAGCCACCCATGGTCATTTGATGACGTGGCAAGACTGAGCTGCTAGCGGTGGTGTTGACGACCTGTGTATTGTTAGGTTTTTGTGAACGCATACGTCGATTACAAACTCATAGTTTCAATCTTAACTACTGAAAGAGGAAACATGATTTTGGTGAAATCTGTCGGTTGTTTCAACAATGATATTTACACGATATACGTTGTTTATCCGTGGCCATTCGTTCGTGATACTTTGGTTAATTTATAATGACTTTTATTTTCCTCTTGATGTTTTCTCGGATACTACTTTACAGCCAAGTGTTATGTTCATGTTATTTTGCTCCTACATTTTGTTTATTCGCTGAAGACGTAGCCGATACGTTCGTTGTTTTGTTGCGTCCTTTGTTTCAGGTTTGTTTCCCCCATGGTTTGTTTCCCCCATGGTTTGTTTCCCCCATGGTTTGTTTCCCCCATGGTTTGTTTCCCCCATGGTTTGTTTACCCCATGGTTTGTTTCCCCCAATAGTTTGTTTCCCCCATGGTTTGTTTCCCCCATGGTTTGTTTCCCCCATGGTTTGTTTCCCCCATGGTTTGTTTCCCCCATGGTTTGTTCCGCTCATTTCCTTTAAACTTACCTGATGGCACAATCTCTCTCCCTTATTACCAACTTAGATTTACGAGATCCTGCTTTATTTCAAATATTCCATATGCTTGTTCTCCTATTACATACGAATGTGTCATGACTATTATTTACATCTAGATCAGGTCGGTTAGTTCAATGGCAGTCTACACGGTGTTAGACGGCGTGCGTCATATGGATTACGTAACGCCATCTGGTGATGTTTAGCGAATTCTCCCGCATCATTATGTTAATCTTCTGACGCTATCATTTCCACAGAGTCTTTTCCCAAAACTTGAATTCCCCCATCTAACTAATGTGACCAGAGAGTAGCGGAGATCTGACGATCTGACGAGGAAAAGACTTCAAAAATGGATTTACTCAATTCTTTCATCAGTTTCCAGTCTCCCGACATCGACGAGCGCACCTACCTCTTTACTAGTCGTGGACTCAGCCTCTGTTTCATCGCTCTTATCATCGTGATGACTGTATCTCTGATATTTAAAAATGTCCGCAGATGTGACTTCTATCTCAAGCCCAAGAATCAAACGATCATCTCACTAGCGATCGGAGACCTATTTTGCGCTCTGTATTCTCTGACCGCGCTGGCCAGATCTTATTTCGAGTCCGATTCGCTTAGAGAGTTCTACTGCAGCGTTGAGGTGACTCCAGTGTTGTACCGGAGCTGCCTGCTCAACTTCTTGCACGCGTTCGGTCTGATGGCTCTCGGGATTGAACTCCTGCTCCGTCACAGGATCAGTCACCAGGCCAACAGCAGGGTCAAGAAAATTCTCATACCCCTGCTCTTTAGCGCCGGCCCGTGGCTGCTGGCGCTAGTCCTCATGCTGCCCATATGTTCTGTGAGTTTCAGTACCAGTGAGCTATCATGTCGATGTACACAGAACACTGGCGGGGTTGTAGCGTCCATTATAATCCCTGCCTTCGCCGCGGTTATAGTGTCTATTTTTGTCAACTGCCGCGTGTTGCCCACAGCCCAGTATCAGCAACCCGTACCAACCCAGGTGATAGCCATGACAACTGTGTCCACAACGTCTACGCTCCAGCATATACATGACCCGGGGGCCATCCCAGGTCCTCCGCAAGCGAACGGATATCCGGCCTATCTGACGCCACAACCATTGCTTCCTGGACAAAACGCACCTCAAGATCAACAGATACCAAAATTGTACAACCCTAACGTTGACCAACAACCCTACATCCCTAACAACCAACAACCTGATGTCGATCAACAGCCCTACAACCCTCACACCCACCAACCTCATGTTGATCAACCCGCCTTCATCCCATCCGTAGCTCAACAACCCAACAATGGCTCTCAATTTCAACCCGGAGCGGCGACCGTTCGACCCGGAGCAGTGACCACCACAGCAAACATCAACACAGAAAAGGCCAGGCTAATGTCCATCTCCATCTGCTTTCTCGTCTTTGTCCTGCCCTACGCCATCTTCCAGATCGGCTACGAAAATAACTCGAGCCTGGTCATCATCTTAGACGTGACTGCTTACACGGCCATCAGTGACTTGGTCATGTGGTTGATGGTCTTCAGATCATATCTGACCCCGGCAATGATGTGGGGATACTCTGACGCATAAATCGCATAGTAACAGTCGCACTAAATACATCATAATTTTTATAAGTGACTCAATAAAAAATATAACAAAATAATATTTTAAATAACGAAATAAAAAAGGAACAAAATTATTTTGTGAAGTGCTCAATATAAATAATAGTAAATTTCAAATGTGTTATTTAATTGAGTTTCCTTTGTGTTTTAATTTAAATAAAACCTTTAAGGTAGGGACATTAGCAATGTTGATAGAATAGTATTATATTGCCATAACAATAAATTATTGGGGGAAAAAAAGAATTCAAACCAGAAGCATCACTGCAATAGTATAGATACCATTGTGGTAGTAGCTGTAGTAAAAATAGCCACGCCCCTGAACACATAACCCATTCAACACATGATTACTTTTTGATGGGATGAGATTGCTACGCCACTACACATATTACTGTGACGAGTAGATGGTCGTCAAAGGGTATGCCCCCTCCTTATGCCCACAAAACAATGGGAGAGTCTAGTACTCCGTTGTTGTCTCCTAACCCCTACAAGACTGATGTGTAGAACTACGTTGTTGTCTCCTAACCCATACAAGACTGATGTGTATAACTCTGTTGTTGTCTCATACAAGACGGATGTGTAGAGCTACGTTGTTGTCTCCTAGCTCCTACAAGACTGATGTGTAGAACTACGTTGTCGTCTCCTACAAGACTGATGTGTAGAACTACGTTGTTGTCTCCTAGTCCCTACAAGACTGATGTGTAGAACTCCGTTGTTGTCTCCTAGCCTCTACAAGACTGATGTGTAGAACTACGTTGTTGTCTCCTAGACCCTACAAGACTGATGTGTAAAACTACGTTGTTGTCTCCTAACCCCTACAAGACTGATGTGTAGAACTCCGTTGTTGTCTCCTAGCCTCTACAAGATTGATGTGTAGAACTACGTTGTTGTCTCCTACAAGACTGATGTGTAGAACTACGTTGTTGTCTCCTTTACTATAGCTCCTACAAGACTGATGTGTAGAACTACGTTGTTGTCTCCTACAAGACTGATGTGTAGAACTACGTTGTTGTCTCCTACAAGACTGATGTGTAGAACTACGTTGTTGTCTCCTTCAAGACTGATGTGTAGAACTACGTTGTTGTCTCCTACAAGACTGATGTGTAGAACTACGTTGTTGTCTCCTTTACTATAGCTCCTACAAGACTGATGTGTAGAACTACGTTGTTGTCTCCTAACCCCTACAAGATTGATGTGTAGAACTACGTTGTTGTCTCTTAACCCCTACAAGACTGATGTGTAGAACTACGTTGTTGTCTCCTAACCCCTACAAGATTGATGTGTAGAACTACGTTACTGTCTCCTACAAGACTGATGTGTAGATTTCCGTTACTGTCTCCTAACCCTTCAAGATAGTCATCAGTCATCCAAGACCCATCATCTCAATTCATGTGTCGACGGGCAGGGAGACGATTTCTGCGGTCGAAAGTCAAAGATAAACTCTATTTCACTTAAAATTTTCACATGCAACACTGCTTGACAGGGACACTTCAAACAGACCTCAACGACGCATGGCGCTCATTGCCCATGAACTTGCGAGATACAATATAGACATCGCCGCCCTCAGTGAAACCAGACTCTCTGGCAAGGGTGAAATCACAGAAAGGCTTGCTGGCTATTCTTTATTCTGGAGTGGACGCGACCCTGACGCAAGGCGAGAAGCTGTTGTTGGCTTTGCTTTCAAAACCTCTCTTGTAACCAAGCTCCCCAGCTCTCCAAAAGGTATAAATGACAGTCTCATGACGTTGAAACTCCCCCTCTGCCGTGGAAAGAAGTCTGCTACTTTAGTAAGTGCTCATGCACCAACAATGACAAACACAGAAAAGACCAAATACAAGTTTTATAAAGACCCGAACACTGTCATCTCCTCCACACCAACTGCTGACAAACTCATCATTCTTGGAGATTTCAATGCACGTGTTGGCACTGACTACACCTCCGGGGTGGGGGGGGGG